GATTGCATTTGTTCTAGCAAACAACCAACCATCTGATCACAGGGACATTTCATTAAAAAAATAAATTTAATTGATACTGTGTTTAGTTATGAAATTACAAATGTAAGTAAAATTTATTCATGTAGTGTTTTTAATAGAAATCATCAATTGTTTCTCAATAAAACGATAAAAATATAATAACAACATTAAAAAATACAAAATGACAGTAAAAGAAATAAAGTTTCAGTAATTTTATGTGGGATTGATCATTAATTAACAGATATTAGATTAGATTAGATAAACTTTATTAATCCCTCGGGTGGGTTCCTCTGGGAAATTCGGTTTCCAGTAGCACAGCACCGACAGAAGTTACAGAACGTGAGCAGAAATATACCATATATACACATTTATAAATACAGAGAATACAAAAGGGATAAATAGAATAAATAGGAATAAGAATACAAGGGAACGGCACATTTCAAGTATTGAAGTCTATTACACAGTTGGATATTAACAAAAGTATTGTACAGTGAGGTGAAGAGGCACTACAGCTTAGTTGTTCCCCTCCTTTGTCCTCCTGTTTCCCCTCCCTCTCCCCTCCAGAGAGGAGTTAAACAGTCTGATGGCGTGTGGGACAAAGGAGTTTTTAAGTCTGCTGGTCCTTGTCTTTGGGAGAAGCAACCTGTCACTGAACAGACTCCTCTGGCCATGTGCAGAGGATGCCCAGCATTGTCCATAATGTCCAGCAATGCCACTGTCACCAGAGTGTCCAGCTTCATGCTGACCACAGAGCTAGCCTTCCTGATCAGTCTCTCCAGCCTGGATGAGTCCTTCTTTGCTGTGCTGCTCCCCCAGCACACCACAGCATAGAAAAGTACTCCAGCAACCACCGACTGGTAAAACATCCTCAGGAGCTTCCTGCAGATGTTAAAAGACCTCAGCCTCCTGAGGAAGTACAGTCGGCTTTGGGCTTTTTTATACAGGTGCTCTGTGTTGCATGACCAGTCCAGCTTGTTGTCCACCAATAAAATATATTCTTTAATTATGGAAGTTTTGACCACAGAAATGGGTAAAAACAGTATATATGATTTTTATGAGTTCATCTTCAGGTATTAAACTTTTAAAAGCTATGATTATGGTCATTTCCCAGATGCTGTATTTACCATATCCATAACTGGTAAAATAGCAAAAATGACAAAAATAGAATGCACAATGTATCCACAAATTTATTTAATGTGAACAATAAATATTACTTCACATATAACTACTTCAGAGAAAGAAAAGAAAAGTTTGTTAGACTAAACATATGAAAAATATTTTTGTAATTAGTTTTGTAAAATAAAAATACCAAATATTATTCTGCAACCAACCAGATTTAACGTTTAAGTTTTGAAGAGAAACAAAGGTGTAGGTCTGTGGTGCAGCAGGAGCAGTTAACTTTCAAATGAGCACTATACAGGCCATTGCAGATTATCTGTGTTTTAACAAAGGTACAGTGTTGAACGCATTAAACCAACTCTTTCCTCTTATGATGTTGAGGATGGGCTTGCTGAAAAGCTTAGCAGTTTTAGCTCTTCAGATAGCTGCAGCATTCAGCGCTCATACTTCTTTGGATTTAGACAGATTTATCTATTCAAGTGTTTCACATTCTCACACAGATGTTTGCTGTTTCTCTAAGCAGATTCATGATATGAATTCTTGGTGTCAAGAAATATTTAAAGTGAAAAGGTGAATTTGCACAGTTTACATTTTGTATAGAAGGTTCCAAGTCTCACTGCAGAAATCAGAGATCTTTTGAATGTGTTGCTGACTGTCACCATCAGCTTTCATCTTCTGTGTCACAATGTAAATGAAAAGTACTGTAGTCGGTATATTCCTGATAGATTCTTCCCTCGGTGTTCGTGTGCTCGCTCAGTCTTAGTTATTATGCCAAATTCTTGTCTCTGTGTCTTACGTTTAGTTTCGCTTCCTTTGTCTTTCAGTGTGAATATTAGATTAATATGTAGGACTGCATTTGTTCAATATCTCTAAAATCAGAAACGTGCTGTCTCAGAGAGAGGCTGAAAAACTAGTTCATGCATTTATTACTTCCAGGCTGGACGACTGTAATTCAGTTCAGTTATCAAAATGTCCTAAGATCTGCCTGAAAAGCCTTCAGTTGATCCAAAATGTGGTTCCTTCCTAAATCCAGAATCAAATTTAAAGTCCTTGTCCTCACATGCAAAGTCTGGAAGAATCAGTCTTATAGTACCATAGTACAATACCAGAGTACTTTATAATGGGAGGCACTCTGTATTTGTTTATACACCACTCTGCACTTAGTCGTTAGTTATTATTTATCTCTGGATCTCTGGTGTTACTTCTTGTGAAAAAGGAGTTTTTTCTTTCCACTGTCAGTGTTTTTTCATAGGGGGTCGTCTGATCGTTTGAGTTTTCTTCGTATTGTTGCACAGTCGTTCATAAATGTGACTGTTGGTGTGATTTAGTGGTGTGTGAAAAAGGTCCAGGACCCAGTTGCAGAGGTTGCAGTTATCAGCAACAACAGTTTGCTAATAGTATTAAAGGTAGAGTTAAAGTCTAGGAGGAGCAGCCTGACACAGGAGCTGGCCATCTTTGTGAGAGCAGATCGTCAACACTGACCACTCTGCATCCAGTGCACAGTGACAATTTTTATGGCACATGAGTCCATGTTAGTGTATGTAGTGGGTCATAACTAGCCCCTTAATGCATTTCATGACATTGCTGCTGCACTCTTGATGCGCTCTCACTCTCTTCAGACACACTGGCACCGTCTGAAAGAGTGAGATGTTAAAAATATCTGTGCAGACTTGTGTGAGTTCATAAGCTCTGAACCCTCTTTGGAATACTGTTTGGGCCTTTTGCTTTTGCTTTCTGGGGGTTGATGCACGGCAGTGTGCTCGTCACATCTGCGCCAGACATACTGATCGGTCAGCTCAGCTGGTGAGACAGCGATTCTGGAGCTGGAGGAGGAGATTCATAGAAGGAGCCTGTAGGCTCTGTGAAGGGTAACTGAGGGACACTCAGCATCACTTACTATAGTCAGTGATGCACTGAAGAATGGCAATAGCGTGGTTGTTGACTTTGCATATAAGGACTTCATATATTCAACATGACTAATTAAAATTTCTCATCTAAATATAATTTCGACTTGCAGTTTTTACATATCCCTTAAGGATATTCAGTCTATTAGCACGACTCACATCGAAATGAAAGCAAGTCTTGATTTTTCCTCCCGGAGCTCCACCTGGAAAGGTTTTTGGTAGGAAAAAGTTAGTTTTGTTTTTCATTTTCTCTTTTGGAAACTTTAATGTTTCAACACTTTGAAGGAAAAAATACAAAAAGAAATGAATAAGCTCCAAACTAGCTCCATGTTAGCCATGAACAGGCCAGCTCGGGGCTATAACAAGACACCATAGTAATATCCTGGCCATCCTTTTATTTTGGTGAACAGTAAACAGCATGCACTGGGATGATGGAGGATGTAAAGTGGTGAGCTGTGGGAGTGAGATATGGAAAGGAGTGGTCATGTTGTTCTTAGTGTCATTGTGTCTTCTGACCTGAAGGATCCCACGTCTTCAGCTGTTTCAGGTCTTACACTACTTCAGCCTGTATACAGCAGCTGTTTCCTGTGTCTGCTGCTTTGCAAAACAACCTCAACCCCAGTTCTACCATTTCAAGCTGTTCGTGTCATTTCATGAACATTTCTGTTGTCAGTGATGCTTTGCTGTGTTTCATGACGGTGTCTTGGTACTACTCTTTCTCCCTCTATGCTTTCCATGTACAGAGATGGGCAGTAACGCGTTACTGTAATCCGATTACTTTTTTCAAGCAACGAGTAAAGTAAGGGATTACTATTGCAAAAACGGTAATTAGATTACCGTTACTTTCCCGTAGGAACGCTGCATTACTGCGTTACTAAAACCGTGATTTTTTTGCGAGAATGTCTCACGACAGTGACGTCAGCGAGTGCGACGTTGGTGACAACAGCTGTGTGCAGATCAACAATGGATAATATATCAAGTGCGGGAGAGAGTATGAGCGTGCAGCGTTTAAAGCGTGGAAGTACTGACCTTACTTTGAGTTTGATTCCATAAAAAGTGACAAAAACATTAGTGTCCGCTGTGCGTGGGAAGAAAACTTCTTTTTACAGCGAAAAAACCCTAAACTTCAAAGCAAGCACCGAGTAGCTACGACGTAATGGGAAACTCACAGAGAAACTCGCGGCTTCTTCCACTGACCGCGGCACACCTGCACCAGGGTAAACCTCCGCCTACCCCACTCCTGCTTTACAGGTGAAAATAGAGCAACAGCACCGCTGAGTCTTTGACTTTATTTATTTTCTGCTGTGTTTTACTTGCATCTATTTGAAAGAGTGAGTGAAAACACAAAAAATATTTTATTTTATGTGCTGGAATGTGTAGAAAATAGGTTTAAATGTTAAACTAATTTCTTCCAGTCAGAGAATGTTGCAGATAATTAAATGTTTGTTTGATGCATAAAGTTAAAAGATTAAAACTAATAAAACAAGTTTTAAAAAGAGACTTTTCCATTTGATTACATTTTGTATGATGATTATGTAGAAAAAGTAGAATTGGGCTGAAAGATCTATTTATCACCTCTTCAGGTTGTAAATCGTGTTTTTAAAAGTAACTAAGTAACTAAGTAATTAATTACTTTTGAAAATAAGTAATCAGTAAAGTAACGGGATTACTTTTTTGGGGAAGTAATCAGTAATTAGTTACTGATTACTTTTTTCAAGTGACTTAACCAACACTGTCCATGTATGTGCATGGAAGGACAGACAAAAGTGGTCCTGAAAACACATTTCATTTCTGTTTTTTCCTCCTTCTTCACAGCTACATGATAAGAGCAGATCAAAGATATTCTGAGGTGCTTGTGTGGAGGTTCATCTTCCAGCTAATCTGCAGGGTACAGTTGTGTGTGATTTTGGGGGAGTGTCTCCTTGTCTGTCATATAAATAGTCTGCTGCTTTGTTAGAGTTGGTGTCTCTTCCAGTTTGCCAGTCTCAGGTTCTGCACCAATTAGTATTGATCTTTTACAGGAAAACGCTATTACACATCAACAAAAATGGAGGCCATCAAGAAGAAAATGCTTATGCTGAAGTTGGACAAGGAAAATGCGCTGGATCAGGCGGAACAGGCTGAAACGGACAGAAAAGCAGCTGAAGATAGAAGCAAGCAGGTAGGTCACACAGGTGCAAATCACATGAAGCGGACTCATCAGTCTGGTGGTTTATATGAGCTTAGTATGTGGTGTAGTTTAGCATCTTGTACCAATGAATGAATGAAAATAGGAAAGATGACTTTTTGAGACTTCCAGAAACCCAGTTATCTTTTATCTGTGGTTTTGGCGGATGGTAGTCAAACAAGGACCTGAGTCTGCTGCTGAGGAAAGTCTGTCCAAAAATGTACATTAAAATCTAACCCTGTGTTTCTTGTCCCACGCTATCAGCATGAAGACGAGCTTATACAAATGCAAAAGAAGCTGAAAGCAACAGAAGATGAGCTTGATAAATACTCCGAGGCCTTAAAGGATGCTCAGGAGAAGCTTGAAGTTGCTGATAAGAAAGCTGCTGATGTGAGTAAAACTAATTCACAGTGGTGTGTTTGGTGCATTTCATAATACCACATTATTGATTACTGACCAACCTTTACATTCTGAAAATACAAAAGAAAATATGTCTCTTCCACAAAGCAAACAGATTAGCAGGGTGCTGACGTGGATGTGACTCTTTGGGAGATTTTTTTCCCTATTTTATGACTGGGAAGGCCAAGAAACTGTAATACATGATACAGTGCTCTCTCAGTGGTGGCATTGTGTCTCACACAGCATGAACTGATGGCCAGTGTAAACCAAGCCAGTTTGAGTTCCTGTTTCAGCCTTGCATTCCATTCTCATCATGCTTACGTCTCACAGCTGTTGGGGGATTCAGAGCCCTTTTTAACTCTGATGTCAACCACCCAACCTTGGCAGTGAGATTAACAATTGTTCAAGTCCATTTTAGGTACCCATGCCTCCCAGATCACAGTAACTGACGGCCTTTATTTAATGGATGTAGCCTAATTTAGGCTCATTCACTGTGGCTCTCACAGCACAATAAGAACTAGACTATCATAAACCAGTGGGCTATTGCACTCACCTTTCTCCACCTGTTTTACTTTCATCCTTCAGCTCGTGCTACAATGTTTAGTTCTCAAAGGTGTCCATCCAAATGGTTCTCTTTCACACACTGACTTTGAGAATTTAAACTAGCGTCAGATTCACAGGACGGGCTCTCTGTCAGACATCGCTGAAGTGAAATACAAATGCAGGCCATAAGAGGCTGAAAGGAGATGGGGAACAAATGGAAAACAAACAGATGATATGACAAAAGTACTTTTTATACACACACTGAGGGGTGGTTAGAAATGAGACACCACTGAGGAAAGTCAGACACAGATTAAACTACAGAAAAGAGGGTGGGGCAGATAATCATACACAAGGAAAGACAAGACAGGAGTAGAAGGTCAGACACGTGGAAAGTAATGTTCAAAGGGAGGAAGAGGAATTAACCAAAAACCCATAAATAACACAGAAACTGACTAAATCTAAACAGAGACAGAAGAGGAAACGGGGAGATTTCGTCTGAGAGAAGCGATAGTTATTTCTATTTCTCCATATTTTTGTATGTTTATTTGTTTTATGTTATCCATACAAATAAGTGTTCAAAACCTCTTTTGGACAGATGTCCAATGTTATGATCAGAAAGTCATTGGTGCCCACAGGTGCACACAAGTGGTGAGGCGGTGGAGTCCTTTTGTTTAATGGCTGACCCCATTAAATCCAGTCGAGCCAGTCGAACCAGTCGAGCCATTACTTACAGAAACTCAGTCCACTAATTTAGCTCTTAGCTACAGTCCGTATGTTTTTGGACAGTGGCACACTTTTTGTAATTTTGCCTCTATACAGCACCACACTGGATTTTAAATCAAACAATCAAAACCATTTTCAAAAACCCTTTCTTCAAAAGATATGGCAGTTACATCGGATGAGAATCGTGCAAAAACATAGATATATTTATACAAATATTTAAAATATTCCAGGAAAAAGGGAATTTATCTGTCTTTAAAGACAATATCACTATTAATCATTCTTTAGCTCTCATTTTCCAGAGTGTTGATTATGGACACGATTTACCAAAATAAATCTCTTTTGCTATCCATCAGTAGTCCTTCAAATAAACCATAGCTTAAAGATTTTAGTTTGCTGTCAATGATAAAACCTGCTGTTCTGTAGCAGGCTAACAATAAATGTTCAAAGGTTCCACCTTCACCGTGGTTCAGCAGAGGACCTTTTCTTATGGTAATTTAATCTTTCTATATTCTCTTGATTCATAATTATCACCATGACCTCATCAGCACAAGCCATGGCTGCCATTCTGTATGAATCACAGATATTATTACAGACCACTGGACACGCTCAGCCTGAGGATCTATCTCGTTTTGCTGCGCGGCACTGACCAGCGACTCGATCTTCCAGGTGATCCAACGACGAGGGAGGCTGGGAGGATTGGTTCACTCTCTTTGGGGGGAGAGAGCATCTGCGTTGGTGCTCCACGAGTCTGGGAGGTAGAAGTTTGTATAGTTAAACTGGGCAACCAGAAAAAGACCACCTGGCTTGCAGTGAGTTTGATCATTTCTTGTGGTCATCCAAACAACAAAGGGATTTTCAGCTTCCTCTGCAAGTGCCTCCATTCTTCCAGCGCCAGCTTCACCACCAGCAGTTCTCACCTCCCCATGTTGTAATTGTGCTTTGTGGGTGACAGCTGATGAGCAAAGAAAGCCAAGGGGTGCATTTTATCAGCAGCCCTCTGGGACAACACTGCATCTAGAATCCAAAGTGTCAACCTCCTCAATGAACTAGAGTGTGTTGAGCAAGAATAAGCGCAGAGGCGAGCAGATGCTCCAGATGGTCGAAGGTTTCCCAGGCTGAGACATTCCACTAGAAAGGCGTCTTAAGAAAAGTCAGACTTTGCTATTGTTCCCGATAAACCAGCGATAGAAGTTGGAAAAACCTAAAAAGTAGACACTGTAGATGTTTCCTGGATATGGGAACTACCACTGCCTGCACTTTCACCATGAATTTGCTGCATTCAACTATCTTTTGGAGCAAAATGTCCTGATTTGAAGTGAGGCCACAAAGAACTCACTCACGTTCTCCCCACTTTTGTCATTGGATGGTGATTGCATCCTGGTGCAAATCAGTGTCTGTTGAGCCCATTGTGGTCAGATTGTTGTGTCATAAAACCAGCAGAAAGATGGGCCCACTCACAGATCACTGAGAAAACATCATGACTCAGTGTTTCTGTGTTTCTCAGTTCTGGTATTGTTTAGCTTCCTTGTTCTTCCTACTTTAATCATTTTGTATTTCCAGTTCTGAATTGTTTGTTCCCTTTCGTGTCCTGGTTGTCTTGGTGTCGTCTGTGTTCTCCCCAGCCTGTCATGTCAGTCGCCCTCTCCATCTTCTCAGTCTGTCTCCCCTGTCCCAGTGTTTGTATATCTTAGTCTGCGTCTTAGTATGTTTCCTGTTTTATTTTGGCAGTCTCTCATCCTGTGCTCAGTGTGTTCAGTTTTGCTTCCTCCCTTCCTGTTAGTCTGATTATTTCCTGCTGTGTTCCCTCCTGTTTCCCATCCGCTCATTATCCTGTGTGTATTTAAGGCCTCAGTCTCCCTCTCCTCACTGGTGTGTTGTCCACTGGCTGTGTTTCTCAACGCTCCATGTTCTCCTCACTACTCGTTCCACAGAGATAAAGCTGCTTCTTCCAGTTTACCCTCTTCGTGTTTGAGTCCTGTAACTGGGTCCCACTCTTGACAGACATAGCTAAGCATTTTGCAATCTGGCGCCATCTGTTACAGCTGAAATTTCTTAGGTATCAAAAAGCAGAAATGAGGTTTTCTTGGCAGTCGTCATTTTTGCAAAACCAAAAGAACTCAAAAGTACACAATACTGTACACAACAGTACTCCAGTGCATAATGTATCTGTGCGTGAACAAGTCAGTTAGGCAGAAAATAGCAATTCATGATGGAAACTGCCTTCAAGCCCTTGAGCTCTGCAGGAAATGTGGTTTTATCGAGATGGATTTTTTGGTAGCAAGACAGAAAAGACAGAATTGCTGTTAATGTTGTTCAAATGTGAATCGTAATTCTGGTCTTCGTGTGCTGCTGGTTCAGTAAATTTTGTCGTTGCACGATGAAACTGGCAGCTGTGGAATCTGTGAGAGCTGTGCTTTCAGCAGAGACACTGTTTGTGTACTTGTACTTGAATCTGTATTTTGTGTTTACATCTTTTCACTTATACCTGCTCTTTAATTGGTTAAAGAGTTATTCTAGCTGTTTTATTTTGCCCTTTCAATGCTTGTAAACCTTGGTATATTTTAGAAATGGGTCTAATTCCTGAAATAGATTTTTATGCCATTAGGAAAACATTCAGAACACCCGACACAGATCTTTCTGTTAAATATACTTTCAATCTTATGTTTATTTGTAAAAATCTACAGAAGTCTTTATTTGTCAGTCCTTTTTCTTTCAAATCTTCAAAACCTTTTTAATTGGTCCCATTAAGTAAATCAAAATATTTAACCAAACCCATATCTTTCCCTTTCTTAAATCAAGTATCCGTTATATTTGGGATAAATCCAGGGTTGTGTGAGTCTATAGGGCTCCTGGTCTGGTTCTGTCTGACCACATTAAATGAAGTCCTAGGACATGCTTGTATGCAGGGACTGGATTCATTAAGGTGTGTGGAGAGGCTTCTATCACCTATTATTACCTGAAACCAAATATGGTTTGATATTTGGCATGCGATTTCCTTCCACCGTGCCGTGCAGACCAGGTTACATATGTCCACTAGATTGCCAGTTGTGCATAAGATGTATTTCACCTGTGTGCACCTTCCTCCACCTTAACATGCCACCCTGTGTTCCTTCCTCTTCTTGAAACATGCATTGACCAGTCATTTCCATCCTTTGCTGAAATCACTTCCTCATCACCCGTGTTCCCATGTCTGTTAAAGTTGACACCAGTTACCACTCATTACCACTATATTCAACTTTTCTGACTGTGCAGCACACGCATTAACATTCACCTATTTCATGTACAGCTTTGAACTAATGCTCCGGTCTGACAGACGCTTCACCTGAACAGAACTATTCGTATACACTTCCTTCAAAATGACCCATAATCGAGTTCTCTCTCTAGAACAGTTTGAATCCACCTCCAATGCTACTGGCCTCATCACTTCGACCTGGTCTCTTGTACACACAATATGTCTGTTTTCCTTCTCTTCATAATATCTCCCTTCATGAGCCGTAGTCCATACGGACTCCTTACTCTTTTCCACGATCCTGCATTTCTGTCTTTCTCGATGCCTCCTAACTCACCTTCCCTGCTGAGTCTTCCTTTGTCTTCGGCCAACAGTGGCATTTCTGCAGCATTCCAGCAATCAGGTATGTATCATAGAGAGGCCAGACCAGAGCCACTCCTCAGTAAAAGTAAGTTGGAGTTTTCCAAAAGGCACCTGAAGCACTCTCGCACGATGAGAAACAAAATTCCCTGCTCTGATGAAACAAACACTTAGCTCTTTGGCCTGAATGCCAAGCATGATGTCTGGAGGAAATCAGGCACCGCTCATCACCTGGCCAATGCCATCTCTACAGTGAAGCATGATGGTGGCAACCGGCTCCAAACTGCTCTGGGCCTCGAAGGTCCTAAGCACACAGTCCAGATAACAAAGGAGTCACTTTATGATTACTCTGTCCTTATGTGACCTATAGAGCCAAGACTTGATTTAAGACCTGTTAAATCTAATATTTGTAAATATGTTTAAAAAGAAAATTTCAAGCAAATGGAATAATGGTGTAATATGACAAAGAGAGAATACATGCACTGTATCACGATAAGCTTCTGGCTGAGTACATCATCCTAACTCACTGAAAACCAAAAAGGTTATTTGAAGAGATTCTTTGGAAAAGCTTTGTCCACATCCACATTATATTATCCACTTCTTTGGAATAACATGCAATACGCTTCTATCAGGAAATGCTGCTTTTACTGTGTTAGACATGTGCAGCGTATGTAACAGACTGTTTTTCTAATTAATCTGCTCCTTGTATTCTCAGGCAGAGGCAGAAGTGGCTTCCCTCAACAGACGTATCCAGCTCGTAGAGGAGGAGCTGGACCGCGCTCAGGAGAGGCTGGCAACAGCTCTGCAGAAACTGGAAGAAGCTGAGAAGGCTGCAGATGAGAGCGAGAGGTGACTCTGCTGTGACCTCTATTGTTCTTCTGCGATGAGTATCACAAGTCAAGCGTTATAGGAACAGCTTGAATGTCAGTGACCACACTTTTCCCGTTGGATGGTTCATGAACATACTGTGCTAGAACCACACAAAAAAGACCTGGGACTGAAAATGTATCTTAATATATCAGTAAAAAACTCCATAGATGTTGAATAGCTACTGAGTATTTGAGCTTAGTGCAGCCATGGAAGCAGATGGAAATTTAAACTGCAAGCGAGATCTTTGTACTGGCTGATCAGACTTTATACAAAACAGGCGCCAGGAACTAAACAGGAACCCTAAACTGGGGGTACACTAGAAACCAGGAACACTTGGAGGTCATCAGACCCATGACTGGAACATAAGAGACACTGACAGAGTGTATACATAAGAGAAGTGGAGATGCATAGAAACACAGCTGGAGCAAACTAGACAAACGTTAGAGGGGAAACAAAACTGAACACAATGCACATGAGACAAGGAGCGAGAGAGCGAGGGACATGACGGGCTGGGGGGAACACAGACGAGACCAAGACAACGAGGACACGAAATGGAACAAGTAACTAGAAATGCAAATGATTCAACTAGCTACATACACGTGGCTACAATGAAACTACATAACAAACTTAGAAATAGCGACCAAACTAACAACCTTGACGAGTCCAACAGAAAACAGGCGTCCTTACAATTGGACAATCTGTGTAACCTCTGTAAGGCCAAGGTATCGCCTCATGCTACTGGTACTCACACCAACACCAGCCAAATGCAAAACTAAAAAGTACCAAAAAAAACATTCAGAAAAGATGAGGAGGGGAAAGAGTCAGTGGCCTCCACCTGTTAAACCTGCTTCTCTGGTGCACTTGTTAGTTTTATTAAGACCAAAGCAGCTCAAACAATCCCCTTTGCTACTTAACAGATCAGGTCAATATCTGAAAGTTTCATTGAGTTGGTGCTATACTCATTTTTTAAATTGTGTATTATTGCACAGTCTATTATTAGCTTCCTCCCAGTCATATGTAAGGCAGCAGCATCTAAACAGAGGTTATTAACACCACGTTCTTATATTTAGCTGACAGATTTTCAAAATGAACTGTTCTATGCATCAAATCCTATCTGCCCCACAGAAAACACTGTGTAGCTATGGTGACAGGTCACTGTGTGGCAGCACCATGACCTAAGTGAGGCTCTTGATTACATATTTGATCACCACACTGGTGAGGAGGAGAGAGGCCAGGAAACTGACAGTGAGGATGGATCAGAAGCTGAAGATGGCACGGAATATAATCCAGATAAAGAGGAATGATGATGACGATGATGGCCATCGAATCATGCTTTGAACTGTTCCTGATTAATTAAACATGATTTACATGTTGTTATGGGCGATTCGCTTTGACAGCCACAATACTATTCAGGGTCATCATCAGCAAGACAAACTGGCAGTGATTAGAGGTTTGTGACGAGTGCGTGGAATAGCAGCCACTCATCACTCATGTCCAAGTCCAAACATCACAGTGTCTGGCCACCGGTAGGGGACGCTGCCCTTTCACAAAGTAAATGCCAATCAAGCAGTCTAAACATGGCATAAAGATATGTCAGAAGTGCAGTTTTGGGATAATTTCCTAGCCACACAAATAAAACATTCCCGTCCACTTTTGGCCAGGACCACAACAGGTGTTGCTTTATGTGACTATAAAAGATTTGAAATGGTTTAAAAACAAATGTTCTTAACGTTGTAACTTATCCAAAGTAGCCTGTGATAAACAGTAGACTGTGTTTCATCTGATCATTTCTTACAGTCAAACTAATCCAGATGTTTTTTCAGATTAATGAGACTTAGAAAGGCTGTCATGCTCACAAGAACGTGAGCTGATTACAAAAATCTAACACAACATACAGTGATAATACATCTATTATTATAGTTTCTATATCTGATCGAGAACACAAAATTGTTTTACATGAAATGAACGAAGCACGAGGGTTAAAAATGTTTAGCAGTGTATTTGTATTGTCAGAAAGTAAGGATGGTTTGTCTGCACAGAGGCATGAAGGTGATTGAGAACAGAGCTCTGAAAGATGAAGAGAAGATGGAGCTCCAGGAGATTCAGCTGAAGGAAGCTAAACACATCGCTGAGGAGGCTGACCGCAAATACGAGGAGGCGAGTGTTTTTGTTCTTGTCTGTTGCAGTCCGCTGCAGTGATGCACTTTCTTTAGGAACCAAAGACATTTGAAAGGAGCTGGTAACTGTATCTACCTCTGTGTTGTTATTACAATAATACTGAAAAATAGCAAATCCACGGTGCAGGACCTTAAACTCTCACACTTTCTCCTCAGGTTGCTCGTAAACTGGTGATTGTAGAAGGAGAGTTAGAGCGTACAGAGGAGAGGGCAGAGCTGGCTGAGGCGTGAGTACATATACCGTGTTACCTGCCTCATGTTTGGGGTTTTTTGAAGGACAGAAGCAATTATTTCCTAGGAGCACTGCTTCAAGTGTTTACAGGTTTTTTTTTTACATGTCATGGCAAACATTTAAACTGTGAGTTTTCTGCACCAACCTATTTTTGTCTTCTAAAAACTCTAAAAGTAAATGTGCTGAGCTGGAGGATGAACTGAAGAATGTCACCAATAACCTAAAGTCCCTGGAGGCCAGGGCTGAGAAGGTAAGGAAAGGCCAGAGACACTGAGAGTAAACATATATTTTCAAAACGTGACTTTTTACATATAACAATAAAGAAGCTGACACAGTACACTCGGGAGGTTTAGAGTCAAACCAAGTATCTCCTTGCCCCGCTGTGACACTTCACCATCCTGCAGACCTCACCCTCTGAATAATCTTCTCCTTCCACACAGTACTCGCAAAAGGAGGACAAGTATGAGGAAGAAATTAAGATCCTAACTGACAAACTGAAAGAGGTGAGCAAGAAAGAAAAATGACCTGTAGATATTCTAAATGCTGGATTTATTGATCATTTTATTTATCTATTTAAAATATTTTCTACATTTAAATGAGCGCTGGGCTCTAAATGTTTTGATGCTTTGAGAGGTCAACATATTGCTGCATTTCTGTTACTTCTTCAACTTCGTTGTCTGATCAAAAGTTGTTGCTTTAACAGGCCGAGACGCGAGCTGAGTTTGCTGAGAGATCTGTGGCCAAGCTGGAGAAGACAATTGATGATCTGGAAGGTAAAACACTCATTTCTCAACAAAGTTCACCCTTTAATTACCGTATTTTTCAGACCATAAGGTGCACCAGATTATAAGACGCACTAAGCGAAACAAAACAGTCAAATAAGTCACACTTTACTCAACTCATTCTTCTTGCTTCCTCCACTTCTGTACCATTGATTCATTAATGTTGAATTCTCTGCAGCTGCTCTGTTCCCATGTTGTTGCCGTATATTAAAGACTAACCTCGTATTGTGGATGGATTATCTCAGTTGTTCTCCTGACTGAAGTTTGGTCCGTTTACAGCATCCTGCCATGCGATTGCATTTGTCTCTAACTATCAGGAACCTTAACATTATCCAGTGGAAAAAAGTTAGCGTTCATCCTCCAGCTTCACTGTGTTTGTTATGCTAACATAGCTGTGTCGCTAGCGACACATAGCACATCATTATATACAGTAGCAGCTAGCCCAACTGCAGTAACCCTACAAACGTCACTGCTGTTTAGTTTCCTGTCTTCATTTATGTTGGAAGTGATGGCAGAGCTGTACGTTTTAATATTTTCAGAAATCTCTCAGTCAGAAAATGCTATGGTCATGTCCAAATTCATGGGCTGCATCCTCCTTCGTGGTCTACGTGGGCCGGGTCCTCAGAAGGTCGGGTAGGCCGGAAGTAAACGGCTGTGGAATTGGACGGTCCAGCCTTCTGATCAGCGTCACCACTGTCTCTGTGGAGTTTAATAAACTCGGCCGTCTGCTTCTTGCTATCTAAAATATAACAGGACACTGGCGTAAATTCTCGACTGTCTCACACTTCTGTTTAATCAGTTTTCTGTTTGACGTTTATTCAGCTGTGTGAAAACCAAGGAGGAACCCACCCGGGGGATTAATAGTTTTATTTTATCTAATCTAATAACTTTAATCTCAGCCAAACCGATTTACTCACGAACAAACAAAACACTGAAAAAAGCCCAACAATAACATTTTTAGGTTGTCTAAGTGACTTATATATTACGTTTAACCTGAGTAGCAAAAGTCTGCGGTGATCTGAAAATGATGTGCCGGGAGTTGTGCCATTCTCGGCGGCTTCAGTAACCCTCGAGCTCCCGGCTAGCTATCGAGCTGGTGGGTAGCAGACATCTCCGAAAACGTCGGCACACTTTTGCAAATATGCAATATCTTGATAAACCGAGCAGATATTTGAAGTTTACACAGCTACTTTCTCACCTGAAATTATGTTAAAAGTTTATTTTGTGACCCAGAAAGAATAATAAGAGTAATTTTAAAACTTAGTAGCGGACGCCATTGCCAGAAACTGGAGTTTGGCTGGGCCGCGCTATGAATTCTGGGATATGGTGAACCACGAAGGACACACCCGACCCATCCTTCAAATTCGGGGAAAAGGAGGACGCATTTGTCGGCTGCATTCGGAGGAGTCTACGAATTTGGACAGCCTTCGTTCGCTGTATATATATACATATATACACACACACACACACATATATATAAAAAAAAAACACCCAGCACGCCCCTGCGGGCGGTTTATCCTTCAAGCTCGGGTCCTCTACCAGAGGCCTGGAAGCTTGAGGGTCCTGCGCAGTATCTTAGCTGTTCCCAGGACTGCGCTCTTCTGGACAGAGATCTCCGATGTTGTTCCCGGGATCTGCTGGAGCCACTCGCCTAGCTTGGGAGTCACCGCACCTAGTGCTCCGATTACCACGGGGACCACCGTTACCTTCACCCTCCACATCCTCTCGAGCTCTTCTCTGAGCCCTTGGTATTTCTCCAGCTTCTCGTGTTCCTTCTTCCTGATATTGCTGTCATTCGGAACCGCTACATCGATCACTACGGCCGTCTTCTTCTGTTTGTCTACCACCACTATGTCCGGTTGGTTAGCCACCACCATTTTGTCCGTCTGTATCTGGAAGTCCCACAGGATCCTAGCTCGGTCATTCTCCACCACCCTTGGGGGCATCTCCCATTTTGACCTCGGGACTTCTAGGTTATACTCGGCACAGCTGTTCCTGTACACTATGCCGGCCACTTGGTTATGGCGTTCCATGTATGTGTGTGTGTGTATATATATACACATATATATACACACACACACATATATATGTATATATATATATATATATATATATATATATACCCAATTATTAGCACAGACGCATTGTGATTAAATGCTTCCTGGCTCCATTTAAAGCTCATAATGGCAGAGTCATCACAGTACGGATACCGACTACGGAACAGAGCAGTCGTCAGCCACCTCCTGTACATGGATGACATCAAGCTGTATGCCAAGAGTGAACGAGACATCGATTCACTGATTCAAACTACCAGGCTATACAGCAATGACATTGGAATGTCGTTCGGACTGGAGAAGTGTAGTCGGATGGTAACAAAGAGAGGGAAGGTAGTCAGAACTGAGGGGATTGAACTACCAGAAGGCAACATTGCAGACATAGAGGACAGTTACAAGTACCTGGGGATCCCGCAGGCGAATGGGAACCATGAAGAGGCCACTAGAAAAGCTGCAACCACCAAGTACCTGCAGAGGGTCAGGCAAGTCCTGAGGAGTCAGCTGAATGGTAAGAACAAGATCCGGGCCATCAACACGTACGCCCTACCCGTGATCAGGTACCCTGCTGGGGTAATAGGCTGGCCAAAGGAGGAGATAGAAGCCACTGACATAAAGACAAGAAAGCTCCTTACCATGCATGGAGGGTTTCACCCCAAGTCCAGCACCCTGAGGCTGTACGCTAAGCGGAAGGAGGGGGGCCGGGTACTGGTGAGTGTCAGCACCACAGTCCAGGATGAGACAACGAACATCCAAGAATACATTGGGAAGATGGCCCCAACTGACCGAGTGCTCAGTGAATACCTCAGGCAGCAGAAACCCAAGAAAGAGGAGGGAGACGAGGAACCATCATGGAAGGACAGGCCCCTGCACGGTATGTACCACCGGCAGATAGAGGAGGTGGCTGATATCCAGAAATCCTACCAGTGGCTGGACAAAGCTGGACTGAAAGACAGCACAGAGGCACTAATCATGGCAGCACAAGAACAAGCTCTGAGTACAAGATCCATAGAGGCTGGGGTCTATCACACCAGGCAAGACCCCAGGTGCAGGCTGTGTAAAGATGCCCCAGAGACAATCCAGCACATAACAGCAGGGTGCAAGATGCTAGCAGGCATACATGCATGTATGGGAGGATGTCTCCAGTACGTTCAGTTGTGATGAAGAGTCCAAGACAGTGAGCAGCACTAACACAGAAAACAAGGCTACTCTTATTAACTGGACTCTTCTATTTAAGAAAGAACTGCTTAGTTCATTTTTTTTATAACTTAGTATTTCACTGTGAATGTTTCTGCAGATCAGTTTCAGCCTCTTTGTTCAAACTGTCTGTTTTCTTTCTTCACTTTTGTCTCTTGTCTGTGTTTATACCCACAGATGAACTTTATGCACAAAAGCTCAAGTACAAAGCCATCAGTGAGGAACTGGACCATGCCCTTAATGACATGACCTCTATGTAAGTTGTGACAGCACATGGATGACCAAGAGTCTTGCACATTTAAATCAACCACTTTGTGATTTAATAATGAATTGTGCCATAAAATATGCATTATTAGTAAATTGATTTCAGAGCATCAGGCTGTCCATTTTACTGCATTAATTTAAAAAATGCTTTAGAAAATTACAAAAATTTTAATTATTGTTAAATTAAGTTTTTAATTGAGTGTTTAATCTTTTTTTTCTAAATAAACAACTAAACATTAAAGAGTTTGATAGTGTTTTACCACCCAGAATAAGTGCACTGTAAACTTTAAGGTACTGATGTTCTGTGTGGCCTCTTCTTACTGTTGATAGACAAACAGCGGGTACAGAATTGAGACACTATTGAAGGCTGATATGCTTGTTTTGGGACCTCAAAGATGATGCTGAAAACACACTAAAGGTTTAAACCAGGGGTCAGCAACCGTTAACACCCATTTGGAGCCAGTTTCCACGCAAAAGAAAACACTGGGAGCCGCAAATACTTTCTGACATCTAAAATGAAGATAACACTGTATATATTGTTTTTTACTTTTATGCTTTGTGTGAACAACTAAGGTGTGCTGCTTATGAAATCCATGAAGTGCTACAGAGAAAATGACATTTTATTTATGTAATGAACACATTTTGAACTGAAAGAAATATAACAAAAGGAAAGCTGAACTAAAATGATCCAGCAAACAAAAACTGTTGTGAGCCGCCACCCTTATATCTCCTTTGGGCTTTTGGAGCCTTGACCTGACTTTTAAAAAATAATTGAAGAAAAAAACATTCAGCCTAAATACGTATTTTACCTGGTTAATGTGTGTGGCGGGCGTGGTCTGTGCGGAGTCCAATATCTTGTCAGCAAATTGAGCACCTCTGTTAAAGCTGACGGATTCATCAATGGGTTCTTTTGTCGTGGCCACCATGTTATCTGTAAATCTAGACCTGCTTGTAAACATATTGAATGGCCTATCAATGTTGCACTTGTGTTGCCTAAGATGTTATTTCAGATATAATTGCACTTACTGTCTTTTGCTTCTGTTGTTTTCAGCTAAATGTTCAGAATCTCCACCATCCTTCCAGGTTGTGACCTTTTCTTCTGCTGACCATTACTCTCAGCTCTGCGTCTGTGATCGCCTACCTGTATTTACAGTATTCCCTCTAAATCCTCGAAGTTTGCTCCCGTGCAGTTAGCCTCTTATGATTCAGTTGTCCATGGATAATTGTTTGCTCTCTTAAATGTTGTTTTGTTTTGCTCTTCGTTGTGCTTCTGTATCAATTCTGTGCTGTATCCCTGTTTAAGGAAACATCTCTGGGTTACGTCATCTGTATTCATGGTTTATTTTCTTAGTTTGAAGTTATTAATATTTGTCTTGCAATTTCGACGGGCGTTCTGCAGTGTTCAGTCCCTAATGAATGCTTTCAGGATTTTCTTGTCTCAGGAATTCATGGAAAATTTGGTGATGAAAACCACATCTGGATAGAAATATCACCAACATATATATATAAATATACTTAAAGATTTTCCTGAATTGTGAATTACAAAGTATTATGATTGTAAAGCCCTGGTGAAAGTATGTCTCATGTTCATTTGTCTGTCAGCAAAGTAATTTGAACAGTTTTGGAATTTGGTGGAGACGCGGAGCACAGGCAAAAAAATAAAACCATTTACATTTTGTTGCAAATCTGGATCTCTTTGTTGAAAATTACACGAAAGCAGAGATTTGCTGGACTGGTGCTTTAAACTTTTTGAAAATACGCCGATGCTGTGTTCTGCCCTGGTGGTTAACATGGAAAATTGACATTCATTTTACTCTCGGTTTGTGCACACTGCACATCGATGATACCCTGCAAAGCATTGTGAGATGTAAGAGCTTCAGGCTTTTCTAAAGAAATGTACCTGTTACCAATTTTTGGAGCTAAATGTGAAAAGCAGCACTGCCTCATTGTGCCTGTTGACACTTTTACTGGAAACATGGACTTACCTGGGATCCCCCTGCCTGCCCACTCTCCTCCTCCAAGAGACACCATGATGTTCAACAACTGTAATCAACCCTTAGCGATTGCTGCCTTTAACCACCTCTCTCCCTACCTGCAGATCCCAAAGCCCCCAGGCCTGATACAGTGATCTGTCACACTGGGCCAATGCATTTGTGGGCTGACGGGTCAATATTATTATGTTTTTCTTCGTCAATATAATTCGACAGGCTGAAAGCGAGCTTAAAGGGCTGCTGCACACCGTCCCTACCAGCACTGAGAGCAGCATATTCATCCATTTTCATTACCGACTATTTGAGCGCCTTGAGACAACTGCTGTTAGGATTTGGTGCTATATAAATAAAATTGAATTTAATGTAATTGAACTGACACTGGATTGCACAATCAAATTTACTCATGCAACAGACCCCTTCCCTTAGCTTTCCTTTGAACTCACACACCTTACAGAAGAGTTTTATGTGGATGGAGTGGATAAAACAGAACAAACAAAAGTAAAAAGATAGAAAAGCTAAGAGAGATATATTAAGAAATAGTTCTTTTTATGTATGTGTCGAATTAACTGGCATGTTAAGAGCTGCACTGTCAACTGGTAACGAGCTCTCACAGTCACAAGAGGCTGCTGTTTCTGACATTAGCTGTGCAGAATTGCAGGAGGAGGGACAGCAGTAACAACAACAGAGTGAGGAATAGAGAGCAGAGACTGTGATTCCAAAATCAGATGTAGGGGTAGAAGTACGAAGGTAGATTCAAATAACAGGAATAGCTACTTTGACCATGAACCACTCTAAAGTGAACCCCTCACGCTAAAGTGGAGCCTTTAATTGGCACTCGTGCTGTCTGATGATCTGCCTGAGGTATTGCCCTCCCTCTTTCCAGTTCATAGAGCCTCGGGATGAGTGTAGGTGAAGACCTGTGTGCATCGTAAGGAGAAACAGGAAGACATGATGGACACAGTGAGGAAAGACTGTGACCCTTCAAACAAATGAAACAGGTTTTTAACTATGCTGAGCAAGGGTAAGAATCCGACTTTTAAATTAAATTAAATGAAAACTTTGTCTGGGTTTATGGTTGATGAACAAGCTGGAGTGGAAGATTGCTGCTAATCCTCCTCAGAATGTGCGTCAAAAACAAAATTAAACTTAAGTCAGTTTTATTTTATTTAGTGACTGTAAAATGATCATGTAGTGGTTTGTATAAGAAAGAAGAAAACAAATGGATCAAGATCAGCATCGGAATCTTCTTTATTTGGCCACTTTGTGCACACAAACAAGGAATTTCACTCCTGATGGAATGAGATGAAGATTAAGATGAAATAAATAGGTCTGGGGAAATAAAAATGGGGGAAATACAAAAGAAAAATAATAAAATAAATAAATAAATACAAACAAATATTTAGGATTTAACAGTTAGTAAGGTGATAAATGTAAAAAGATAATGCCCACCAGCAAAGGACAGCTTAAAGACATTTAATAATGGCCCTATAATAACGACTCAGTAAACACAAATTCTTTTTTTTTTCTTTTTTTTTGGCCTGTCCCGTTTGGCTCTTTTGCATCAGAATTGTTGTCTAAAGGCAAAGAAAGATGCCCAACGGATTTACTTTACCAAACTGACCATCCCAGCCTTGCCATAATGGTCCATTTGATTCACCTTTTATTGTTTATTTTATTTTCACTTACTGAATACGGGACAGACTTGACTGGGGGAAAGAAGGGGAGAAAGAAAGAGGGAAAGAGAAACAGCTGAGAAGAGGGACGGGGGAGAAGGGCAAAAAACAAAAACCAACAGAATGAGCAGAAAAAAAAAATGCATATATCAATCACCTGGATCACCTGCTGAGAAAGAAAAAAGAAAGCAAGCAGAAGAGAACAAGAGTAATAGAATAAACAACATCACAATGATATATGGGAATATGACAGTAAATGCTAAATATTAAACATTATTGTGCAGCACATAAGATCAACAGCACACAGTGTGCTTTGAGGTAGGAGCCAAAAAGGGTGTAGTTTGTGGGTGTGATCACCCGTGTGTACACCTGTGAGCATGGACGCGCTTGTTTTTTTTAAAAGGTTCCTTCATGTAATGATCTGCTAGAGGGTGTGGGGGGGCCACAGCCCCGTCCTCCAGGGCATGAAGCAGGTGTGGAGGAGATCAAAACTCCAGACATCCAGAGGCCCCCAGAACACAAGAGACCAAGGAAGACCAACAGAGGGGCAGCTGCGCCACTGTCCCAGAAAGAGCTGAGGAGAGTCCCAGATGAGGGCTCACTCAGCAGCCGCGGAGCAGAAGCCAGGGGGAGTTGCAGTGACGCGCCCGTGAGCTCCGCCGGCAGCCAGCTGCGCCTGAGTGACCGAGCCCCAGGCCGAGAGGCCGGGGGCACCCCACCTCCGAAGTGGCCCGAGCGAGCCCCAGGCTCCAGGCCCCGATAAGCGGCCGCCAAGGAGTGAGCCGGTGTGTACCTGGACGCCCATCCCCGGACACAAAGAACCACCAACGCACCGATGTCTGAGGGGGTCCGCCACTGGCAGGGGAAGTGGTGGTGGGGGGAGATAGGCCTCCAAACCTTGGAGGGCCTGAGATGTCCCCAGAGAGGTGGCGCCTGACACCCAGCCTGACATATAGACACAGAAATACAGGCACACACATATACAAACATCCATTCCCACCCTCATGCTCTCATATGCACTTACTCCACACTCAACCAACGTGGAGACAGACATAAAGAGACGTTGTACACACGATCACACTCCCCAAGCGTACTCTACAAACCGGGTCTAGGTACCCTTGCCCCTGGAGGGGGAACTGCACCCAGACCCAGGTGGTGTTACCCTTTTCCCTGCGGTGGGGGGAGGCAGACCGCCCCGACTCTGCAGCAGCAGGGAGGCCCCACACTCCAGACCGCAGTCGGACGGCCAACTCCTCCTCCTAGCCCCCCCGCTCCAGCAGGCCGCAGAGAATGGGGGTGGGAGAAGACTCCAAACCTCCCTCCACCCGCTCATTGTAGTGTTGATGCATGTGTGTTCTAAGGTGCATTTAAAACCCAGGAGGGCGTGGAGCTACCTAAACACAAATTCAATAACCAGTCTAAATTTTCCCTGCTGGCAACAGAAGTGATCAAATGTTTCTTTTAAACATTGTGGCACGATTGTGGCCAGAGGTGGGAAGTAACAAAATACAAATACTCCATTACAGCTGAATTTTCAGGTATTTGTACTTTATTTTCAAATTGTACATTTAAACGTTAGTTCAATGATATCATTGTATGTTGTGGCCGGTGTTTTCCTCCATGCTGTTGAGTAGGTTTGAGAGTCAGAGATGACAACAGGCTTAATAAACTGATCCGTAAGGCCAGTAATGTTGTGGGGATGGAGCTGCACCCTCTTAAGGTGGTGTGGGAGAGGCGGATGTTGTCCAAGATGAGGACGATGTTGGACAATACCTCCCACCCACTCCATGACATGCTCACCAGTCACAGTTTAGTTTAGTTACTTGCTAAACTTACTGTCTTGGAGCAGCTACTATATTTCCAGCTAGGGAAAAGAGTGAAAGACAACCTCTTTCAGATTTGGCCAAGTGCATCTTGGTCTATGTTTGTGTCACTTTTGTTTTACATTGGCTTTGCGTTTGGTTTGCTGTGTGCCATTAAATCACTGCAAGAACTCCTGTTATCTGGTCTTTAAGTCTGACGTCATTAGCTGTGACTGGGCCCAAAGTCAAACGAACACTGCAGCATCACTGAGAGTTAAAAACTGTCTAAAGTCTTTCATCTTTAATAAAATGATCAGTGTTGCTGCTTTACCAGGTGTAACAATTAAGTTTAACATCCAGGCATCCATGAAAACAGGATTTATTACATTTAACAGAGTTAGAAGTTAGCAGGAAGCTAGCTCACTAGTTTCCATCTAAACATAGATGTTCTGACTGAGAGATTTCTGAAAAATCTAAATGTTCAGCTCTGCTATCACTTTTTCCCATTTGATAAATGTTAACGTGAGGGTTCCCAATGATTTCCATTTAAAAAAAACTGAGCTTTAAAATGAACAGTGGCCAACAGTGATCACTGACTGTTTTTAGGGGCTTGTTGAGATTAAATAGAACAAGATACAAAACATTAAAACATGTTAAAAACACAACAGCCTTATTAAGCGCAGAGTAGTCTGGACCAAGAAGCAGGATTCATACATCATCACCTAACAACCGGATATCCCACCTGCTGTGAATTAGTACAGTACAGCGGAAGTGATTACATCCTTGCATGACATACCTTAGGTTCATTTTCTGCAGGCAGGTTTCTGACAGAGAACAGGCACATTTGCACTATAACCTGCAGCGTTCTATAGATGGATGCATAAAAAAAAGAAAAATTACATGTATGTGCTAACTTTCTAAACACTTTGTTACATTTGTGATAAATGTATTTGAACGTAGATACAACACATTTATGTCGGCCTTGGCTCATTAAAGTTCTTGTCTTTAAATGAACTTTGTGTGTGTTTCAGGTCCTGCACTCTCAAAGACTGAATGAACCAGCATTGCAGCTGTGGGTCATTGTGAGCATCACAGGGAAGTTTGAAGCCGCCCACTGCACCTGTATGGCCGGAGTCGTGGAGACCTGCAGCCATGTCCCTGCTCTTCGGTTTAAAGTAGAAGCAACGGTGTTGATCTGTGGCAGGTAAAAAAAGCCGTC